GCGGACCTTTCCCACGTCTCCCCCCCCCCCCCGTTAGTGCAGTTACATCCATAACGATGTGGCTGCCCCCCAGGACAGGGCAGGGGCGGGGGGGGATTTTCCATCCTCCCCCCCACCTCTGAATTTTCCTCCCATGTTTACTTTGCAGGTGGGTGGACGGCGCTCGCTGCTTTAGTACCCCCGGGCCGACCTGGGACCGGCACCGACCCGATCCCGGCACTGACCTGATCCCACCGGTACCGATCTGATCCCACTGGCACCGACCCGATCCCGGCACTGACCCGATCCCACTGGTACCGATCTGATCCCACTGGCACCGACCCGATCCCACCGGCACTGACTCGATTCCACCAGCACCGACTCGATCCTGGTACCGACCCGATCCCGGCACCGACCCAGTTCTGGCACCGACCCGATCCCACCAGTACAGACCTGATCCTCCCGGCACCGACTTGATTCCATCGACCCGATCCCACTGGCACCGACCCGATCCCACCAGCACTGACTTGATCCTGGTACCAACCCAATCCCGGCACTGACCCGATCCCACCGGCACTGACTCGATTCCACCAGCACCGACTCGATCCTGGTACCAACCCAATCCCGGCACTGACCCAATCCCACCGGCACCGACCCGATCCCACCGGCACCGACCCGATCCTACCGGCACTGACTCGATTCCACTGGCACCGACCCAATCCTGGTACCGACCTGATCCCACCGGCACCGACCCGGTTCCGGCACCGACCTGATCCCACCAGTACAGACCTGATCCTCCCGGCACCGACCCGATACCACCGGCACTGACTCGATTCCATCGACCCGATCCCACAGGCACCGACCCGATCCCGGCACCGACCCCAATCCCGGCACTGACCCGGTTCCGGCACCGACCCGATCCCACCGACACAGACGCAGACACCGGTTCTGACCCGACCCCACCGGGATCCACACACCAGAGCCGGACAGATTCAAGGTATTTCCACCCATGGACCCAGGCAGTCGGGTGGGGCAGGTCATGTGGGCGTCATAGGGGGATAGACCCGTACATGGGGGGGGCGCATTTCTTGGTGGGCTGGGGCGTTGGGGGGGTGACAGAACACAGAATGGGGAAACTCCCTGCTTTGCTGGAGACCCTCAATCCCGACCCACAGCGCCCCTCTTCCCCCCCCCTGCTCTTCCAGGCCCCTCAATCCCGACCCACTCCCCCCCGCTCTTCCAGGCCCCTCAATCCCGACCCACAGCCCTCCACTTCCCCCCTGCTCTTTCAGGCCCCTCAATCCCGACCCACCGCCCTCCACTTCCTCCCTGCTCTGCCGGGGCCCCTCAATCCCGACCCACTCCCCCCCTGCTCTTCCAGGCCCGTCAATCCCGACCCACAGCCCCCCACTTCCCCCTGCTCTACCAGGGCCCTCAATCCCGACCCACAGCCCCCTGCTCTGCCGGGGCCCCTCTCTCCTGACTCTCAAGCTGCACTCATGGGGGTCGGGGGGGCCCTCTGGGCTGTTTCCTCTCAACTGAGGGTTTTCTGGGGCCGGGGAGGGACTCCCCAACATTGCTAAAGGGCAGCTGAGAGACCCTCGCTGAGGGGGTGGGAGGGCATCTGCCATGTGGGGGGGTGTATGACACGAGAGACAGATGGCTCGATGGGGTGGGGAGATGGATGGACATGGCTGGATGAATGGACAGCCAGACGGATGGACAGACGGACGGAGATGGACAGATGGATGGTTGAATAGACGGACGGACAGATGGATGGATGGACAGAGATGAACGGACGAAGGGATGGTAGGATGGATGGACAGAGATAGAGGGATGGAAGGACGGACAGAGATGGACAGATAGTGGGGAGGGAGGGATGGATGGATGGATGGATGGACAGATGGATGGATGGATGGATAGTGAGGAGGGATGGATGGACGGATGGATAGTGAGGAGGGATGGATGGATGGATGGATGGATGGATGGACAGATGGATGGATGGATGGATAGTGAGGAGGGATGGATGGACGGATGGATAGGGGGGTGGGATGGATGGATGGGTGGATGGAT